CCATCTTTCCAGGTCCAGACCCTACTCCAGGGGACTCATCTGTCCTCCCCTCTTCCATGCACATGTACAGCTGCCCCTGACCTGAGTCCTACCTCATGGAAGTCCCACATGCATTTACTGCAACTCCAAACAGGACCCTCACCAAAGCCTCCCTTCTCCATCCTCCTCCATCCTTTCCCGGGACTTAGGGACGTGGTTTTGTGGTGGACTTGGTAGCATTGAATTGTTGGACTAAACCGTCTTGAGGGCCTTTTCCAACCTAAATGATCCTATGATTCTCTCAGTTCCCACTGCAAGTCAAAGCCTGGCTCCATGTCACACTTCTCCAGCATCTACCCACACCTTTCAGGTCAGGATTGTAGTCCCAACCCCATCAGTTCCACCACAACCCTCAACACACACAAGAGCAGGGACCAGCATGACTGCTAGATGCAAGGGGCTACTTCATCTTTAGTGTCTAACCCACCACATCTGCCCTGGGTGGTTACCTGGTGCTACGAGCTCATCTCTGGACCTCAGCAAGAGAGGGACTCTCCCTAATGCTAAGGCCCCAGGCAGATCCTAAGGCAGGAGAAGTACCCAGGGGTTATACGGTCCTTCAGGGAGTCTGTCATCAGCGGAGCAGTTGGTCTGTGTCCAGGTCCTGTCGAGTTCTTTTCCTCAGTGCTATTTTTGAGCCTCAGTAGATGGCTGAGTTGGAAAAAGATTACATCACTGCTGGTGACGTTGGAGTTGCTGGTGCCAACGCGGTCAGCTGCTCCTTTGGTGGCAAGCGGGAGGGACAGCTTGCCAAGGAGAAGACATCCCTTCTGGCCTACAGTCCCTCCTTCCAGGCAGCTGGGATATTTTTGTCGAGCTCAACACAGCCACAGCAGCCAAAGAAAACTGCAAATGATCAAAGAGTCTGTATTTTTTTGAAACTTTCCGAAGCAGAGGAGGATGGGGGACAGGCATCCTTCCTCCCCTGCCCGGGACCTGCAAAGTCTGGAGCAACCTCGAGGGACAGTGCTGGGCTGGTGGGAGGTGACACCTCAGCAGCAGCCTTAGAGTCTCACCTTTCTGTTCAGACCTTTGTGTGGTGGAATCTCTCATTAGGAGAAAAGAAAGAAGCCAAAGTTTGTGGTGGTTTCAGGTAGCAACGGTGCTCCTGTTCTCCTGGATCTTCCTAAACACTTTCCTACTCTTTATTTGCTTATCTCCAATCAGCGTTACCTTCCAGGTGAGGGGTCTAGAGAACAAGGCACATGAGGAGAGGTTGAGGTAACTGGGCATGTTTAGTTTGGAGAAGAGGAGGCTGAGGGGGGACCTTATTGCCCTCTACAACTACCTGAAAGGAGGGTGTAGAGAGTTGGCTCTTGGCCTTTTCTCCCAAGGGAATAATGACAGGAGCAGAGGAAATGGTCTGAAGTTGCAGCAGGGGAGATTCAGATTAGATATTAGGAAGAATTACTTTACTGAGAGAGTGGTCAGGCACTGGAATAGCCTGCCCAGGGAGGTGGTGGAGTCACCATCCCTGGAGGTATTTAGGAAATGTGTAGACGTGGCACTTCAGGGCATGCTCTAGTTTGTGTCCGTTTGTGGTGGAGGTTTTTTGGTTGGGTTTTTTTTTTGTGTGGTTGCACTAGATGATCTCAAAGGTCCCTTCCAACCACGAAGATTCTGTGATTCTGTGATATTTATTTGTCTATCTCTAATCAGCGTTACCTTCCTAATAGCTTTGAGCACACTCATTTTGAGCAGGGTCTTGTAAAGGCTTTTACATGGGAGGACCAAGCCCCCAACCTTGCCCTTCCCTCCTCGCCATCCCGTCTCACACTCCTATCAGCGCTCACACACTGAACTCTGCTCCGTACAGTAAATATGATTAGGACTGGCTTAGGCTGAAATTATAAACATTTCCAGCAAACAGACCGATGTGTGCCAAGTGGTGTCCTGTGTTCCCCTTTAGCTGTTGTTCTGGGAAAACAAGGGGTTTGTTTTGTTTTCATTTTTCAAGATGCAAAAATAGACGAACAGATCCTCACACCCCTCCTTGGATACATGCAATGCCCATGCTTCTGGGAAAAGGGGATTAGGCAGAAAACCAGCAGCACCAGCGACTTGGTGGGAGCACAGAATGCAAACATCGCGAGCCCTGAGGCACAAATCAGAGGGAATCGTTAAATTTTGAGAATATCTGGTACAAGAAGAAATTATCTCACGCTGCACAGTATGTACGGGGGTGGTTCAAGCAAGATCAGTGCTGGGCATTTTATGGTGGCTGCTGGAAGCCTGAGTCCTTTTTCTCATTCAGCCACGGGTCTGATGGATAACCCTGAGCTGATATTTCCATCTCCAAGCCGTTCTCTTTTCCCAGCAGACCCTCTGTGATCCCTCTCCCTGTGCCACGCACACAACCAGGCTGCTCGGCATGCTGGCCTTGAGAAAAAAGAAATATTTCTTGAGAAAAAGAAATATTTATTGAGAAATAGATTGTCATTTCAGCTCATGCAAGTTTGGCAACGAGGGGATCATTGCTTCCAGCCACACGGACACGGGGCTGCTCCACACAACGTGTCTGCAGCCTCCCCGTGCAGGAGGCTGAACGGGCAATGATGGAAACTGCCTGGTATGTGGAGTAAAATGGTGATATGTAGAATAAAATGGTGATATGTAGAGTAAAATGGAGGCAGAGCATCCCAACGGAAAGAAACTAAACGTGCCAGGGTGTGTGAAAGATGAGCGTGTGCGTGAAGCTGGGCCGTGGGTAGAGCAGGGAAAGAGAAACCGTGTCATTTCCACAGTTCAAAAAGATTCAGGTTTATTCCTTTTCTGGAGAAATGTGGATAAAACAGGCCTGGAAGGGGCCTGGAGAGGGTATCTTGCCTGTGCCTTTGCCCTGAGGCAGGGTCAGCTGAGCTGAAACCGTTACCGAGAGACGTCCAGGAGAACCATCAGTGGTAGTGACCTCATGCCCACGCCAACCTGCTCCCTGGTTTCTCCTCCACCCCTTCCCTAACTTCAGGTGTCCTTCTCTCTCATTTAGCCCACGACACTGTTGTAGCCCCACAGTCTGGTTATTCCCACCTCTCTGCAGCAACTCTTTGCTTTGACACAGGATGTTTTCCTCTCCTTGCTGCTTCTTAGGTGATCTCCTGCTTTGGTTCTGCACTGGGGCGTCTAGTCACTCTGAACCCATCACACCAGGTTTGATTTTATTCTCACTATGGCCAGTTGTGACATTATTTTTAATTTTCAAAGTATAGCCGTTGTTCTCTGGCTAAAGCTTATTTGCTCTGAAGACCGTAAGAACTATTCTGCTAGATCAAACTAGAGGTCCCTCCATCCTGCCATCCTGCCTTGAAGAATGGCTATTAATGGCTATTTAGGAAGATAATTTACAGCTTATCCTTCCCTTGGCACATGTCCCAGCATCTAAGCAATCAATTTAGAGGCTTTTTGAACAGGAGGCAGCACCTCGGCCGTCATGTTTAATAGAAATCAATGAATCTCTCACCCATGTATTTGTCTAATACCTAATACCTTTTTGAAACTCCATATATACTTTGGGCTCCCACAACATCCAGCAGTGATAAGTCCCATAATTTCATTATGAGCTCTTAAAAAAAAAAAAAAAAAGGTAATTTTTAATTGATTCCAAATCTTCTGCCATATATTTTCAGGGTGTGTTCTCCCCCTCCTGGTTCCCGTAGTGTGATAAAAGATGAATAATTACCCCATGTGTATCTTCTCCTCCCCATTTGTTATCTCATAGATCTTTCCCGTATTGCTTTATTGTCTCTTCTCAAGGCTGAAGAGTCCTCTTTCGATAATCTCCACTTCTACAGGAGCTTCCTTGAAGTGGTGAGGCTGTTGGACTAGATGATCACCTGAACTGAATGATCTTCTAACTGAACTATTCTGTTCTATTCCATTCCATACCTCTGAGCACGGTTGTTCCAGGACATTTTTCAGCTTCTATAGTTCTTCTTCCTCTGGTTTTTTTTTTCCCTACATCTGACACATCTGGAGATAACAAACCTATGCCAGGACCATTCAGATGATTGTCATCAGGAAGGCCCAGTGAGGGACATAAGCCTGGCCATGAGGTTTAACGACCAGGTAGGAGCAGGCAGCTGTCTTACTGAAAATTAATGCTTGTAAATTAACTGTTCTTTGGCCCTGAGGCCACCCAGCACCAGGCAGCCCAGGATCATGTCAAAAAAACCCCTTTAGCCTCTAAAATGAGGTGGCCACCCTATGCAGAGTCCTGAGCCCCAGCCTGGGAGTCACTGAAGAGTCAGTTGTCCCAGGTCAGCAGCGTCGCAGGGACCATGACAGCAATTTATGGATGTCCATCATGGGCAGTACCCCAGCAGAGTTTGGTTTGTGACTACAGAGGTATCTTTTAGGTCCAGTGGCTGTATTTACTATAGACAACTCACAAGAGAGGGGGCAAAGCCATTGGCTCTCCTGTGTCTTGGTTTGGCAGCCACATAAAAAGGGGTTAATAGCAACTTCCACCTCACAGCTGAGACACCTGAATACAACAGGCTTCTGGGCCACCTGAGAGGATATCCGCTAATGTGTCTGTGTTTGGCTTTGTAATATTTAGTTTGCTTTTACTGTGCAATATATTAAGATTTTAATTAAGCATTTTGTGTCTCACTCATCACGGGGTGGGGGCAGCTAGGACTTCACCTCTGTTTTTCCCTGGGGGAGATGCTGCAAGCACTCTTATTGCAAGATTTATTATTATTTGCACTACAGATCCATTCTCACAATAAAAATTAGGTGAATTGCCAGCCCGTTGCAGCATTGCCAGCCATAAATCACAGGGAGCTATAAACACGTCGCCCAATAAACTATCAGGAGAAAATCGTGCCTGCTGGGAGAGCATCATAAATGGGAAAGATCATTTACTTCACGCACTATTTTCGCTGCTACGCCTCACGCTGTTTACGCATGGGGAGCTCGGGCTCCGTGCGCCTCCCGGTTGATTGGACGGGGTCAGTCCTTGGGGCGCGTTATAAGCCCTGCCCTCCCGGATGCTGGGACACGGATGCGGGATCTTCCTCTGCATCGCAACGGGGTCGAGCTGCCTGTGCGGGTCGTAGAGCCCCCACCGCTGCGCTCGGTGAGTACCCGGGGCAATTAGCAGCCTCTCCATCATATCAATCCTCATTTACTAGTGTGGCGGCTGCAGTTTGTGGGATTGGACACCACGGTGGGTGGGGTGGTTCATCTCCAAAGAGCTAGCTGCTCTTGAGGTCCATGCCACTCTACAGGACCTGCCTCTTTGGGGGTTCAGGGGAAAAGACTGCTAGGGAAAGTCTGGACACCACGGTGGGTGGGGTGGTTCATCTCCAAAGAGCTGCTCGGGAGGTCCATGCCACTCTACAGGACCTGCCTCTTTGGGGGTTCAGGGGAAAAGACTGCTAGGGAGAGTCTGGCCACCACGGTGCCACTTACCAGCCTTCCACGGGCTTTCTACAAGAGTCAAACTGGTCTTCCACCGTTGGGTAGCCCAGCTCAGATGATGGGAATGGCACGTTCCTGTCCTTGCCTGTCAAGTCAACAGAAATTCAGCTCTATGGGTGCTGCGTCTCCAGAGTCCCTTTGCTAGTCCTCCTTCCTTCGCTGAGCGGCTGAGCCCTCGCTTGGATGCTTGGGTTGGCAGCGATGCAGTTGTGAAAATAGCAAAGTCTCCTCTTGGGAAAAAAAAAAGCTGATCTCTTGGTGTCATCCTTCCCAAGCCCCTGCTCTTGCCTACGCTGAGAAGAAGCCCTTAAAGCTCCAGTACTTTGCTTAAGTTATTGGTGAAAATCAAAGTCAGGGACAGGCAAGAAATCAGGAGGTGGATTTGGAGGGCTGGAGAAGGAGGAACGGCACTGTGTCCTCCATGGCACCTTCCCAAGCCCCTGCTCTTGCCTACGCTGAGAAGAAGCCCTTAAAGCTCCAGTACTTTGCTTAAGTTATTGGTGAAAATCAAAGTCAGGGACAAGCAAGAAATCAGGAGGTGGATTTTGAGGGCTGGAGAAGGAGGAACGGCACTGTGTCGTCCATGAGGCATCTGCATTAGATGTTCCCCAGGTGGTTTGGAGTATCTCCTGAACAGCAGAAATGCCTGGGCGCTGAGCAAGTGGCCAGTTTTCCCTCTGTGGTAGGATGTCTTCCTGGGCTAGCAGCAAAAACCACCCAAGCACTGCCATTCCTCTTTAAATTGGAGTCCTCCACTGCCTGGAGGTTTGTTTCCTCGTCAGGGCTTGGTTGCAGCGCGAAAGGCGCAATTGCTGTCCCACCATAGTCAAGTGGGAGGTGTAACATATGTATGTGTGCTATATGTTATATATACACATGTAAGTATACATAAACATAATTAAGCATGCATGCTTGTTTATATATTCTATATATTATAGTTATTTTATATATTTTTTTATATATATAATTTATAGTCACACACATATATATTTATACACACACATCAAACACAGAGGGGACAAAAATGGCTTGGTGTGGGGTCCGTATCTGTAACGCCTACAAGCACATAACAAACCAGAGTAGCTTGAAGGGAGACAGAGCCAGTAAAGCCCATTTCTAAATAACATCCTACAGCGTGGCAGGAGTTGCCAGCGTCTAACAAAATCAAGTTTGCATACAGGTTTTCTTGCAGGGGGAGCATCTCTTACAGACCCCAGTGAGTTCTCACCAGCCCTTCCTTTCCCACTGTCTCTCCTCTTTTTCCACCTCTGTATTGCTGGAAACCTCATGAATCTCAATGCCTTTGACAGTTCTGGGTATCTGCAAGATGTCGCCGTAAGGGAGGGAGACAGACAGACACAGAGGCATGCACAGATTTGGTTTTTTTTAAGTTTTTTTTTAGTCCAGCCTCCAGATGGGACTGAATTGCAGGAGCCTGCGGGTCAGTTCTTGCTGCTCTGATGCCGTTGGACTGGCAGAAAGGGACGGCTCTTACCTTTGGGGACCTCCAAGCTGCCACTCGGGTGGTACCTTCGGAGAGTTTCCTTTTGCCAACGAAGACCCATTGTCGGGAAATCCCTGGCTGCCCTTCGGCAGGTAGCTCCATCCCCCTCTGTGCTGTCTCCTGTGCTGATGAGGCTTTTCTGAAGACAGGCTGTGCCTTGTCCCTTTAGCAAGTGACACAGTGCAGGGGGGGGCTACCTGCCAGCCACAGCGATTCCTGATGCTAACGTGTAAGATTTGCAGTGAAGATAAAGTGGGGGAAACGAAATGACTTTTGGGTCTTCCCAGGTTCCCATCAGTTACGCGTCCCTTCTGCCCTGGAGCAGAAAGATGTTGATCCCTGCTACACCCTGGGATTTATTGCCCAATTAGACTCTCAAGCAGGCTGAGAGTCTAATGGAGCAAAATCATATTAGGAACATAATAAATACATCATGGAAGATGTGTGTGTTTATTGAAAAATTAACCGTGTTATAGGAAACCCTCTTGCTCATAATTCAGGCACTCTTTGACCTGCTTGTTTTGTGTCCCAGAGAAGGTACAAATATTTTTTTCCTTTAATTAGCCCTTGTTTTGCACATTCACTGCTTTTCCCCATCCACTCATCTAGTCATTCAGTCACAGAAGGCACAGAGAGGGCTCAGGGACCTTGTCAGCCCCTCCAGCATCTCTGCTAGGGTGCACTGTCGTGTGCAAGTGTAGGAACCTGGATTGTACTGAGATGCCTGAATCCTCCAAGAGGACTGAAACCTATGGTAAGATCACAGGCTCATAGGTTCATTGGATAATTCAGGTTGGAGAGATTTCAGAAGATCTCTAGGCCAACGTCCTGCTCAAAGCAGGGCCAGCTATGAAGTCAGATGAGACCACTCATGGTTTCATCCAATTGGGTCTTGATAACTTCCAAGGATGGAGATTGCACAACCTCTTTGGGCGACCTGCTCTGATGCTTGACAGTCATCATAGGGAAATATTTCTCATCATATCCAGTCTAAACCTCCCTTGTTTCAACTTATACCTGTTGTTTCTCATCCTTCCATCATGTACTGCTGTGAAGAGCCTGTCTCAGGCTTCTTGATAGCCTTCCTGTAGGTAGGGGAAGGCTGCTTTTGGGTCCCTGCGAAGCCTTCTCTTCTCCAAGCTGAATAAGCTTCTGTCCTTGGTCTGTTATCCTGGGGCATTTCTCCAACCCCATCTATTTCAGTGGCCTTCTGCTGGCCTCTTTCCTTGGTCTCTTATCCTGACGCATTGCTCTAACCCTATCCATCCATCCATCTCGGTGGACTTCTGCTGGCCTCACTAGAGTAGGCATTTGCTAGATTTCTGTAAAGACCTCACTCACCTCATACTCTTGATCCCTGTATGGAAACCCCACCACATCCCCTGTCTTCCTCTCCTCTGATTCAGATGCAGAGACTTTCTGTGGGCACCTCCCCAGTCCTTCTCAACCTGCAGCTTCTTGTGCTTTGGCTTACATTTGCCTGTTATTAAGAAAAGCCATGGGCACCACACAATTGGGGTTTTGCTCATTTATTTCCCTTCACCTGATAGTAAGGTAGATGATGAAATGAGCAATAACTTGGATGTGAGAACAATAAAAATCCACCTTACCCTGGTGGCCATCTTCTGAGGTGAGAACAGGAGCGTCTGATGTTCTCTCATATTTTGCATTTTTTCCTAATGTTGATTTCTTATCTAAGAAGTCAGAGTTAATCTTTCACCGTTTTCATGTCCTCTGATCTCTAGTTGGCATCAAAAAGAAACCAGCTAAGCAACTTAGTCTTGGTTGGGATTACTGTAGAAAAAGTGTTTCCTCACTCAATAGAGCATCTCAACCTGTGGAATTTGGGGACAACTGCAACACAGTAGCACTCACAAGGAAGGTTTTCACTTTCTGTCCTGGTTTGAGGTAAAACAGAACCGACTTTCTGTTCAGTAATTTTAAGAAAAAAATATTTCTCTTTTTTAAGAAAAAATGTCCATCCTTTTCCTTCATTTTAAAGCTTAACATATGAACAAGAGTGTAGTCATATGTGACACTATGGTAGTTATAACAGTGTCCTAAAGAGCATGGGGGCATCTGCACAGGTTGGTGGGGAGGTGGAGGGAGGTGGCATTACCCAGTCCTATATTCAGTGGAGAGTCCAACTACGTGGAGTTTCTGTTGTTGATTTGTTTTAGGTATAGGTTATGTGAGAGCTGAGCTGGGATGGAGCATGACTCACATACCACCTGGGAATTCAATGGCTCCTTCTATCAGCCTTCAGCTTTCCTCATGATGGGCATCCCAGGCCTGGAAGCCCTTCACCACTGGATCTCCATCCCTTTCTGTGCACTGTACCTTATTGCTCTCTTGGGAAACTGCGTGATCCTATTCATCATAAAGAAGACCCAAAGTCTTCACGAACCCATGTACTACTTCCTCTCCATGCTGGCGGTCACTGACCTGGGCTTGGTTCTATGTACACTGCCTACTACTCTGGGCATTTTTTGGTTTAATATGCGAAGGATTGGGTTTGATGCTTGCTTCACTCAGATGTACTTCATTCACATACTGTCCTTCATCGAGTCCTCTGTGCTCCTGGCAATGGCATTTGACCGCTTCATTGCCATCTCCCGTCCACTGAGACACTCGTCCATACTGACCAAGACCACTGTCATGAAAATAGGTTTGGTGATTATATTGAGAGGTATGGTCTCCCTCCTTCCCATACCTTTCTTGCTCAAGAGACTAACCTATTGTGGGAAGATCGAACTTTCTCACTCTTTTTGCTTCCATCCTGACATCATGAACCTAGCCTGTACAGACATAAAAGTCAATGTCTTCTACGGTATGATTATTCTTTTGTCAACGGTGGGGACGGACTTCATCTTCATTGTGCTGTCCTACATCTTGATCATTAAAACTGTTATCGGCCTTGCAACCAAGGAGGAGTGTCTCAAGGCCCTGAATACATGTGTCTCCCACATCTGTGCTGTTCTGGTGTTCTTCATCCCAATGATCGGACTGTCCATGATCCATCGCTTTGGAAAGAATGTTCCACCTCTGGTTAACACTTTGGTGGCCTACACCTACCTTATCATTCCTCCTGCTCTCAACCCCATTATCTACAGCATAAAATGCAGCCAGATCCGTGAGGCTTTGCTCAGGGCACTGAGGAGGAAGACTGAGTCAGAGTGGTAGCTTCCCCAACTAGTTCTGCCAGAAGGTGCTAGTGGACTGGTTTCTTGGTCAGAGTTAGCGGACTGGTTTCTTGGTACTCCATCCAAGCGGGTCACTGCCAGATTGAAAGAACTGCAGATCTTCTCAGATGCTGTCCCTCAGCCCAGAGCTGTGATCTTCCAAGTTTTATCCTAGCACGATGCTTTCTTCCCTTCCAGCAGCCTGTGAACACCCCAAGCAGTAATGCTGGTGATATAAACAGATGGAAGCCCCAGTGAGAGGGAGACAATTACAGCAAAATGGGCTGCATGATTTTATCTTCTCAAGTAGTGCATTGGGGTGGATCAAAGAACCGCTGAAACGCATGTTATGTGAACTCTAACAGCCAGATAACAGCGTGTAAGCTTCACCCAGCGCCCCTTAGACAAGGTCATGGGTCCCTCACTGGCCATTACAGCACAGATAACCCCAGCAGAAGGCTCAACAGGACAGAGCTTGGACCAAGACCTTGGCGTCACTCTTAATATCCCAATGCTTAGTTGGTCAACTGGAAACATGCAGCAAGATGGAGCTCAGTTCCAGAGGCTGAGTACAGAGTGTTTTCTGAAGATTAGGTTCTGTTAAATGGGCTTCACTGGCCATTACAGCACAGATAACCCCAGCAGAAGGCTCAACAGGACAGAGCTTGGACCAAGACCTTGGCGTCACTCTTAATATCCCAATGCTTAGTTGGTCAACTGGAAACATGCAGCAAGATGGAGCTCAGTTCCAGAGGCTGAGTACAGAGTGTTTTCTGAAGATTAGGTTCTGTTAAATGGGCTTGCAGCACTCTCAGTCCTCCTAAAAAAATGGCTCAGCCCAACATGTGCTGGCAACCTGGGCTGGCAGACCAGAAAGCCCCCTGCATCCCCAGCAGTGTGGCCCCAGGGCCAGGGGGGGATTCTGCGTCGTCACTCTTAATATCCCAATGCTTAGTTGGTCAACTGGAAACATGCAGCAAGATGGAGCTCAGTTCCAGAGGCTGAGTACAGAGTGTTTTCTGAAGATTAGGTTCTGTTAAATGGGCTTGCAGCACTCTCAGTCCTCCTAAAAAAATGGCTCAGCCCAACATGAGCTGGCAACCTGGGCTGGCAGCCCAGAAAGGCCCCTGCACCTTGTGCTGCATCCCCAGCTGTGTGGCCAGCAGGACTTGGAGGGGGGGATTCTACCTCTCTGCTCCACTTTGGGTGACCCCTCCAGTAGTGTCTCCAGCAGGACATAAGTGATTAGATAAGAGGTAATGGTTTTAAACCATTACCATTAAGAGGGGAGATTTAGATTAGCTACTAGAAAGAAATTCTTTACAGTGAGGGTGGTGAGGCACAAGAACAGGTTGCCCAGGGAAGTTGTGGATGTCCCATCCCTGGAGGGGTTCAAGGCCAGGCTGGATAGGGCTTTGGGCAGCCTGGTCTAGTGGGAGGTGTCCCTGCCCATGGCAGGGGGGTTGGAACTCGATGATCTTTAAGGTCCCTTCCAACCCAAACCATTCTATGATTCTATGATATTATGCTGGGAGGGCTGGAGCCCCTCTGCTGTGAGGACAGGCTGAGAGAGTTGGGGGATTCAGCCTGGAGAAGAGAAGGCTCCGGGGAGACCTTGGAGCCCCTTCCAGTCCCTCAAGGGGCTCCAGAAGAGATGGGGAGGGACTCTTGATGAGGGAGGGGAGCCCTAGGAGGAGGGGGAAAGGTTTGACCCTTGAAGAGGGGAGATGGAGCTGAGATGTGGGGAAGAACTTGTTTGGTGTGAGGGTGGCGAGAGCCTGGCCCAGGTTGGTGCAAGAAGCTGTGGCTGCCCCATCCCTGGAGGGGTTCAAGGGCAGGTTGGAGGGGGCTTGGAGCAACCTGGTGTGGTGGGAGGTGTCCCTGTCCAAGGCAGGGGATGACACTGGGGGGGCTGTAAGGTCCCTTCTAACCCAAACCATGCTATGATTCTATGATTCATCTGTATTTCTAAAGTGTTCCACATATCTACAAGTGATGGAAACAGTGCTGTTTTTGAGTCTCTTTTTGATGTCATCAAGCCTTACCATCTTGCCAAGTCTATTGTTCCAGCCATTGTTTTGCATTGAATGTAATGCGTGTGTGCAATATCTTCAATAAAAGATATCTATTGGTTGTAAAAGGTCAAAAGATTTGATGAAGCTAATTTTTTTCTGTTCATATAATGCAGAGACATTAGGTTGGAGTTGCTTAAAATCTTCAGGATTGGCTGTAGATGAGCATAGGATTGTGTGAAGTAGGGATGCACCAGGAGGGCGCCTGGGGCTCTGGTGGGGCTGGTGGTGAGGCTTGCTGGAAAAAAAAAAGCATTTCCAAAAATATATCAGGAATGGCTAAACTTACTGATGCTATGGACCACATATGACAATTTTCCAGCTCGGATCTGCCAGGGACTGATGGTACTTCTCAGAGGGGTTGGAGGAGGAGATCTCCTGGGGCAGTTCACAGCTGGGATATGACAGTGTGTCCCAGTATCTTATTGCTCTGCTCTTATTGCTGGCTATCAGCCAGGCAGAAAGGTTTCATGATCCTCCTGACTTACTTCCTCTCAGGGACAGAATAAAATGACCCCAAATCTTTTGTGCCTCCAAATTGTGGAGCTGTGTTTTCACTGGTCTTAAACCATATTTTGGCCAGTTTGGACCACGGTGGTCCAAATAAGAGGAAATGGCCTGTCTTCGCCTTGGAAAGGTGAAGCAGCAGAAGGCACGGGGGCAGGATTTCACACCAGAACCGGCCTGTTCCTGCCTGCTGCCACTTCACACTGTCTTCTTCTTCAGACTAACCCAGGATTACACATAACAGTATCTGGAATAGAAAGAAAAGAGTAATGAGGGACCTGCTCTGTCAGGAGGTTGGACTAGATGATCTCCAGAGGTCCCTTCCAACCCCATATCATTCTGTGAACACCTCCATAAAAAATACCTAGATGATCTCCAGAGGTTCCTTCCAAACCATATCATTCTGTGATTCATTCTGTGAACACCTCCATAAAAAAGATGGGAAGGGAGAAAGGAAGATTTCCAAGGGGAGGATTCCCAGGGCACTGTGTGTTTTGTGTTAGTTATTTTGCTGAGGATCCTGGTGGGCACAGGGTGAAATACTCCGCAGCAAACCACACCAGCAGAACCTCTGCCTGAGCGTTGGCACAGCAGCTCTTGGGGTGAAGGTCCCGTTTTCAGGGAGAGACCACCCAATGGGAGCACTCTTTGCTCAAAATACCTAAGATCCAACCTGGTGCTGTGCTTGCAGCCAGCTATTACGAAGAGAAAGATCAACATAAGGGAACAAACACAACTTTCGGCGGAAATGCCTGGAAATGAGGTTTGCTGGAGAAATGCTGAGCTTGCAGCACCCTCGCCCTGCCCTGCTCCCATTCTGAAAACTTCCAGAGTTTCTCCCTGGGCGTCTGCGCTTCCTGGCCTCTGAGAAACAGCAAAAGCCCAAGGAGCCTCTGCCACAGAGAGCAGGCGCTGGGGGAGGATGTCCAGGGAGGAAACGTGTGGGGAAGGGTTAATTAGCACATTTATTAGCAGAGCTGGAGGCTGCGGTGGAGCAGGGCTTGCAGGGCATTTGGTGCATCTCCATCACCCACTTCAGCAGAGCTTCATCTGCCGCTTCCCAGTGGGTGTAGCTGGAGGGTCCCAGGCAGGCGCTCCAGATTTGGGAACCTCTTTATAAGGTACTGTCTTTTAGGAACAAATGTTCAAAACCCTTTATTGCCGCCTCTGGGAACGGGAAACTTAATTGTGGTTTAACGTCTGCGTGAGAGAAAAGAGAGACAGATGAACCACTTAGAGCCGCTAATTCCTATTCTGCAATGCCCCGAGCTCTGCGCTTTGTACCGTGGGATCACTTTGTAAGTGATTGCAAGTACTTGCTGATGGATTTATTTCTTATGAGGCAATGGAAGAGCAGCGTGAGACAAATCAGAGGCATCTCTTGAGGAGAGGAGAGGAG